CTGATTTTCCCTAGCGGCATCATGTAAAGCAGGTAAAAATTGATTTTCGAGTAGTTCCAAATAATATTCTGCATTTAAATTTCGCGTAAGAAATAATGGCCCGATAATATTGTGTCCGAATATCCCTGCCCAAACATTTACTTTCTGTGGATATTGCGTCCTTGTTTCGACAAACCTGTAAACCTGTGTTGGTTTTCTTTGTTCCAATATCGATAATTTTGAACATTGGGTTCATTAAGGTAAACGTGCATTCGTTAGTGAAACATGTTTTTTAAAAATTCCCTATCCGTGTTTGCTCTTTCCATCATATCAAAACAAAACGCCTGTCGCCGTATTTCGTCCCTATCTCGTAGCTCTTGGTGTTTTTCATATTTGAAGGAATAGTATTTATGTCGTTTCAAAATTCGAAACGCTGTAGTGTGATCTATTCCTATTTCATCCTCAAGTTTCCTTGTGCTTATCTTTCTATCGTTCTCTTCCACGCACAACAAAACTTCCATGTCGGTATCATTTCTTGCATCTTCTCTTTGTTCCTGCCTTGCTTCACATCTGCAGTTATTTATTAGGGTACCTTTGGTCTCAAATCTCTGGATATTCCTTGCGATTGTAGATTTTCCAGGTATCAGTCTATTCGGATTATTCAAAACGCTCTTCTATGGTAATATAATTTCGTTTTCATTCTTTTATAGATTGTTGTTGATAGAATTTAAATTTGATTGACGTCATATTTTTTGCTGTTTTAAAATGTTAAAGAAGAATATTAAAATTTGGAAAAGTATAAACGGGATTAACCATTTTAGAACAAGCAAATTTTTTATGAAGAATACATTTTTCTCAAAACGCCAATAATAAAAAAGTTTTTCCTCTTGTAAAGACAATTCGGGGACATACTGTATAATAAAAAAATTAACTTTAACGAGACAAGCTGAATATATTTCATTTTAGATCGGATCGTACGCACGTCTAGTTTATTTTACATATATTTCCATTTTGTGTCTTTAATTTGCAAGGGACCTGTTAATGAAGTAGGTATTTATATTTATTTATAAAGTATCACAAGGAAATGCTGTTTTTACTACTCAATTAACAGTTCTTATTCTAATTTAGATGAAACGAGATTCAGACCTGCATTAAAATAAAAGTACAGAACACCTGTGTTTCCGTTTCATTGAATCCATAATAGACGATCTGGTCAAGGTATCGTATTTTTAGAATAGCAGAAAAAAAACGCAAAGTAAACAAGGTGAATTTTTCATTTCATAACGTAATAAATTTAGATTTTTCGATATTTGCTGGGGGTGCGGTTTTTATTTGATTTTAAAATTTCGTAATTTTTCTGTTTGTATTAGTCAATATACATTAAACTTTTTATTTTTACTTTTGCGAAGTATAGGAACCGGTTTCATGCTATATTTCCATCAAATCATCTTATGAAATCACTTCTGTAATTTATTCAGTTTTATATATAGCCTTTGACTAACGGCTGTTTGACTGGTGTAATTTTTTAATTACATATACCGGGTGCGTCTCAAAAGTGGCTCACCCCCTATAACTTTTTTATTTTTTCAGATAAAATAACGAGACTTGGTGGACGGGTTGATTGACGTATTCAATTATTTTGGTCACTTCCTGTTTCACCGGAAATGACTACAACTTGATTCTTAAATGGCACCCTCGGTATTTCTTTACTTTATTCGATAGAAAATAGTACTCTGAATAGAATGACATATAATATGTCATATGTCAACTTTTGACATTCTCTCTTAATAAAAAATTGCATTTTAAATTTCAATCTAGAGTGCCATGGCTATGTTAAAAACATTAATTCTTATTCAAGGAGCCTTGGAAAAATAAATTGGATCGTCTAATGTTTTAGTGTCTTGTCCTGGGCAGTTAGAAAATGCTCAAATCGCATTTTTAATCATATCTCAATTTTTTCAAATGGAACAAGTTTATTCATTAGCATATTTGGAAAAAGCATTTTTTTACGAAAAATTTGATCCCACACACTTGCTATTTTGAGTCAAATCTTCTTTACGAACCGCAAGTTATAATTTCAAATAAACCATATGCGAAAATGTCAAAAGTTGATATAGTCTGTCCAACGAGGAGATCCTTGACAGTGATAGATGTGTCTGTCATTTTAATTTCAAAGTAGTTTATTTTATTTTACAAAGAAATAAGTTGGTACAACTGGAACGCATAGCAGGAACTTAATATATGTATTTAAAATTTGACTGACAAGTAACTTCAAAATATTGTGAAAAAACTGTATAAAACTGAAAAAATGTAATCGAGTTATTTTATTTAATAAAAAACGGTATGTGTTAATACAAAACAAACAAAAACAAGACACCACATACCAAAAAATATAAAAAAGAAGTATTTCTTACTTTCAAGCTTTATGAAACTTCCCGCATTTATGATTATATTTATCAATATAACTTATGTACAAATACAAATTTGTAATATTCCGCAGGAATAAATAAAACAACATAAATAAAACAAACTATTTTATTAATAATAAAACCAAATTTTATACCTCACAGGTTGATTAATTAACTTTAATCTTAATTTTTTTAAACCAGTACCTTTTGACATTATTTTTCTGCAGTTCTAAAATCCATTATTTACCTATCGAGTGATGTCGATATTTTACAGCTACTCCAGTTTTTAGTATGGGTTTAGAGTATGGTCCTTCTACCATATTCGAGATGCACTTATCTACGACGAGATGGTATACGAACTTTATTGATAGTAACTTTATTGGTGTATCTGTATAAGACTTTCTGCCTGGGCAGCGAGTATTAACCATAAACTGTGCTCTGGCTTCTACAGTTAATTTTCACACGATTGTTCCTCCACTTGACTTCAAAAGACACAAAACATACGTAATAACACGAATCAAAATGCATCATCTTCCAAAACGCAGGGTATTTGACAAAAGTTGTCACAAAATTATAACCTATAATTTGGCAAGACTTTGACAAACGTCAAAAATCTAAAGGCGCGTTCATACGCATCGGGGTCCGTTTGTCGTTCATCGTTCCGTCAAACCAATAAAATTGAAATACGATCTGTCATTTTTGAAATAAACCAATAAAACTGATTAAAAGCAACAAGTGACGACGCATGCCGAATTTATATTTAAACCCATCCATAGTTAACTTAAAAATTATTAGAAACTTTTTTTAGTAAAATAAATAGATTGGTATGGGACGTCATCTGCTTTTCTTCTGTCATCGTCTGTCGAAATCTTACCTGAGAAAAAAAACAAAGTATATATGATATATCATTCTATTCAGAGTGCTATTTTCTATGGAATAAAGTAAAAAAATACCGGGGGTGCCATTTAAAAATCAAAAGTTTTTTCAATTTCCGGTGAAACAGGAAATGACGACAATGGTATATGAAATATATCCAGTGTTTAATAATTTATATCAATAAAAACCAGTCTTTAAAATATTGAAAAATACAGTATTGTTGCTAATGAACCTTCTTTCACGATGTCTTAGCAATAAACATGCAGTATCGGCATGGTCAACAATTATTTGTAATAGGAACACGATTCTGGCACAATATATTGTGTTAACATGAGGAAACCTTGTTTTCATAAGACGCTCTCATCATATTAATGATTCTTCTCATTTATATTCATTCTGTCACGGTTGTTTTTAGATCGTTATTCCACAAATAACGGGTTAACCCTGCGCATAATATATTTTTATTATTTATTTAGTCGTCATGGAAACGTGACTGTGCACTTGGGCAAATGCACTGTTCTAGTAATTTTAAAGAACATTAATTCACAACTATTTTTATATTAAGACGAACCAGAAAAATTTACAGACTTCTAGCAGGTAGTTTCAGGCTTATCGCTTCATCATCAGGTTAATAAGAGTTCTATAGAATATATTACTGTAACATTCTCACTTAGTTATAATTTTTTATATTTGAGGAATATTACAGAAACCATTGAGGAATATTACACAAACAAAGAGCAAAACTATTTTAGTTAAAATCGTTTTTGTCTGTTATAAAAACATTATACATATTTCGAAGAGAACGTGTACATTGAAATTAAAGGAACAAACTTCCACGCTAATTGATACCACTAATTTATTCTACTAATTGCTAGGTTCTAAATGAAGCTTGAAGCTTACCAATTGAAAATAACTACCACTAATTTTGCCGTTCTGAATGCTTACATTGAAATTAGAGAAACAAACTTCTAAGCTATTTGAAACCACTAATTTATTTCACTAATTGCGAGGTTCTGAATGAAGCTTGAAGCTTACTAATTGAAAATTACTACCACTAATTTTGACGTTCTAAATGCTTACATTGAAATTAGAGGAACAAACTTCTAAGCTACTTGAAACCACTAATTTATTTCACTAATTGCTAGGTTCTGAATGAAGCTTGAAACTTACTAATTGAAAATGACTACCACTAATTTTAACGTTCTAAATGCTTACATTGAAATTAGAGGAACAAACTTCTAAGCTATTTGAAACCACTAATTTATTTCACTAATTGCTAGGTCCTGAATGAAGCTTGAAGCTTACTAATTGAAAATTACTACCACTAATTTTGACGTTCTAAATGCTTGCATTGAAATTAGAGGAACAAACTTCTAAGCTATTTGAAACCACTAATTTATTTCACTAATTGCTAGGTCCTGAATGAAGCTTACTAATTGAAAATTACTACCACTAATTTTGACGTTCTGAATGCTGACATTGAAATTAGAGGAACAAACTTCTAAACTATATGAGACCACTAATTTATTTCACTAATTTCGATGTTCTGAATGAATTTTTAGTCCATTTAATGACTATTTAATGGGCACCATAATATGAAAACAGTCACAGTGAAGAATGTTTTTGACTAAAACTGTTTGGTTCTTCTTGTGTTCGCTCAGCCTAAGGTTTTAAATAACCTGAATTAACATTCTGTATAAATATCTAGATTTTACATTTTTATATTATTTTTTTCAGGTGGCCGGTGTTAAACCAGTGGAATACTATAGTTCCTCTTTGGCGTCCCAGTTTCAAAAGGCTGTGGAACATCTTGCGAACTGTAAACAGAAGAAATGTTCTGTATGTGCTTACGCGAAATCATCGTACAAGAGGATATCGCCCAGTCATCACAGATACGAGTAAGCATGAAATTTTATTTTCTAATTTTATTAAAAAAACGGCGTCAAAGACAGCTGGGGAAAGGCAAACATTCATCAATAATTTTGGTTTGGTTTGGTTTGGTTTGAACAAGTCAATCTCTGGACGTCATTTACTAAAAACTGACATAAAGCGTGTCAAAAATTGACAATAATTCATAGATAAATGAAACAAGTTTAGATTGGAAAATGCCCATAAGGACAATGTAAACACTATTTGGCGCTATTCTTGCAACGGTCGCGACCCAAAACTTTTGAACATTTCGGAGCGGTTCGGCTTTTTCCGGAATTATATCGCCAAATATTGTTTATTCAAATTTATTATTATTTTCGTTTAATTTTATAAATAAAATACAGTGTGTTGCATACAAGAAACTTTATTTTATATAAGGACGCATGTATTAAATACCTATGAAACATTGGAAACCGACGTTATGCCACGATCCACGATGGTTTTTGTAGTTCACAGTTCACAGCACATCTTTTTAAGTTTTTAATGCCACTTTTTCACAATTATCACCGGTTGGAGTAAATATAACTTGAATTAAACTCACAAGATAGCTAAATAGATAAATAATTGCTTTGAAAATGAACGCTATAAACACTTTTCGGAATTTCTTTAATGAGAGCGGTTGAGATTTTGAAAGATTATTATGATTTTTGAAGATTCTGACTTTGACAAGAGAAAATTATTTCGGTTTTTGTTTGCCGTTGTTCTTAGCGACCGCTATAACAGCGCCAGATCGCGTATAACGGTTGCGACTCAAAATAATTTCGCGACCTAAAATTTTTACAGGCTTTCCAATCTAAACTTGTTGCATTTATCTATGCAATAATTATAGAAAGTTTAAGAAAGGATAGAACGTTTCCAGACACACAAATCTATATCCATAACATAAAAAAATAAAATAACAATAAAAACATATTTTTATCTAATTTTAAATTACACCATTTAAAAATAATTTTTACTGAATATGTATACAAATAAATTACAACCTTCTTTAGGGCAACTGGCAGTAAGCGCCATTAAAAAATAGAGTACTGGCTAAGTAAATGACATCTATTGTCATACCCGCCGTTTATTATTTTCGATCTTTTAGTACTATGAAAGTGAACTATGGAAAATTTTATAAATCGAAAAATAATATTGTTACGGATTCCGTGGGTTCACTAATTTAAACTCACGATAAAATACTTAATAAATTTATTTTCTCACTATATACACACACAATTTATACTGATTACAACACACAATTAACTATTTATAAAATCCTTTGGTAAATTGTCAACGATTCACAATTTAACCGTATTTTTCAAACTTCAAACACTGGCGCAACTGCCGATCGCGTGCTTTTATATAGTCTACCTACTGTTTCTGGAACCTTCTAAAATTATCGGTAGCATTCTGTCCCCTACTAGTAAATTCTGCCGCCTAATTCGAAATTACTTTTCTACTTGGTTAAGAGATGGCGCTTCAACAATGTCCTCAGTCCTCAACCAGCAATACAGGTTGCGGTTATTCACTTCTCCGACAGATGTCACCACCATCTTAACAATATATTGAGCTTAATGTCTATATTATTCCATTAAAATCACATACCAAAGCAATAAATATTTCACAGTGAAAATATTTTTAATATAAAAATTAAATATTTTTATTTACCTGTTTTAATTTCTGTATTTATCTTCAGGCGCAAACTATTTGGATGTTTGCAGACGCCATTTTTAGAAATGCGAAACATGATCAAACCTCCACGATCCCCTATAAACAGTGGTGAGGGGGAAAGCCTCTCGGAATGGTTTTGTCCCGTGGAAGAAACCCCTTCAGGTAATATTGTATACTTTTAATCCATACTTAAGAAATATTAAAAATGTCTGTTGTAATGTAATTTACTGAGTACACTATTACACATATTCGATGGCTATCATTCACAAAACATATTCTATAATATAGTCTCGTCTACGTTTTGTACTCATTGCGGCGGGCGAACTCTGTGCTCAGGATTTAGTCTCTATACTCTATACTTTCTTATTGGTCGACTGCACACTAAACCTTTAGCAAATATTTATTTGTGTTCTCAATGTAGACACTAATACTTATAATACGCAAGAATTGGTCTGGAGATAATGATTCACTAATTCTATTACCAAAGAACCTTTGAGAATGACCTTCGACCAGAGCCACTATTCTTGCACGATCAGTCTCACTTATGACATGACCGATTCATTTTCATACTCTTAATCATAAAATTCGATTGGCGTAGCCATACGAATAATAGGCTATATGGGTTTTACTTTTGCAGTAATTTTTGAAGTGAAACTTCTTTACGCACGTTGGGAGTAAAAATTCAAAGCCATGCCACACGAGCTAGCGTCAGGAAAAGTGGTAACGGCAGTGTCGCCACAGTTACCCCATTCGGGATAGATCTGCCCCTTTGTAACACAATTTGACTCGCTCTGGGTGACGATCTGTGCCATACACGGCTAAGAAAATTACTATAATAAACTTGATTCAGTACCTGTGTACCAGTATCCCCTGGCTGTGTGCTAGGAAGTAAATTTTCATGGACATTTTCATTGATAGGTTTGTGGCTTCTGAATAAAGGTTTAGGTAAAGCACCTAGCTCATTGGCTAGCTCAGAATTAGAATTATTAGAGTTAGTAACTCGCATTTTCATTGGAGGACACTGTCATATTTATTTCAAACCAATAATCAACGAGAATAGTCGTATAATTTAATAAAATTACTGTAAATCACTATAAATAATGAATAATGAACAAAATAACAAAAAAAACACAGACTACATAGTCGTAGTATTTTGGTTAGCTGCCAGGGCTTTCCGGCCGGATGATAGAATTAACTATTTACGTCTGAGGGCTTGGGTCGATTGGAACCAAACTAGGCACGTGGATAGAGGTAGCCGAATAGAGTCCTCAGATGGACAGACAGACAGACGGAAGTAAGAAGATTCACTTCAAATATGCGCACATAGTGCACACACATTTTTAGCCGACCATACCAACAGGTATGGTAGGCTATTAAAATCGGCAAAAAAAAAAGTTTTTTTAATTTCACTCAAAATGAGTTATTTGGGTCATAAATGACCTAATACCAAAATATTTTCATGGTGTCTGTCTGTCTGTCCGTCTGTCTGTAACACGATAACTCAAAAACCGCTAAACCGATTTTAACCAAATTTGGCACAAAATACTCTGGCACCCGAGAATCGGGCAATTAGTTTTTGGTGGGGGTGGGGGGTTGGTAAGGGGGTATGGGAGGGAGTTAAAAATTTTAAAAAATCGTAACTCCAAAATTACAGTAGCTAGCGAAACGCGGTTTTCAATTTAAGATTAGGAATAATATTTGAAACAAAATTTGTAATAACATCAAAATCAGTCAAAGTCGCAGTTTTTGAGATAATTGAAACTAAAAGAACTGCCTACCAACTTTTTATTAACATATTTTAGTATGGGCGGCTATACGTGCCTCCCGGCGCCAATTTCTTTTACTACAAATATGCGTTGATTTAAAATGATAAACACTGACAAGCAAACTTACAAAAAATTGGATTTCTCCAAAAAAGATTTCACAATAAAACAAGGCAATGAAATTTTTGAATTTCTATGTGTATATAAACTTAACTTATATAATATATTATCGTTCTTTGACAGGTTCAGGTTGTGGTCAAAGCGAATGCTCTTCTTTAAGCGTACCTTTTGCCGAACTCGCCATATCGTACATGGACGACGTTTCGGACTCATCCTCGGGATATTTGAGGGACAAGGACGACCCGCTGGATGAGATGAGCCAAGGGAATAGGAACAGTAATAGTTTTAGAGGTATATTTTTACAACGATTTGAAAATTTATTTTTTAGAGCCCCCACAGATGCTCAGTTCTTTAACACTCGGAAAAGGTCCGATTAAATTTATATTTCCGAAAGTAAAGTTTCAAAAAAAGTCATACTATATCTACAAATTCATTTACCCAGTAGTAGATATAAAAACATTTTTGGTAAACTGTCTCAAGTAGTTTCTTAATAATTTTTTTAAAGGTCTGATTAAATTTATATCTCCGAAACTAGTTTCAAAAAAGTCACACTATATCTACAAATTCATTTACCTAGTAGTATAGTTCAGTCATTGGGGATTTTTGCTTGGAAAAAAGTCCCTAACTAAAATCCATAAAATGCACATTTCCAGACTTGCCGCCGGCCGCGCCGGCGCCTCCATCTTGCCAAGATGGGGCCCAAAATCGGTATTTTGTAAATATCTCGAAAACTATGCGTTTCCGCAAAAATTTAAGGAGAGCAAAATTAAAGAGAGTAAAATTTCCAATGAAAAAAGGTTCTATGAAAATTTTCGCTAACGTCAACCGTTTAGGCACAAAATCCCTGGAAATTTTACAATTTTGCGTAAAGTATGATATATATGTATAGTCGATTTTCCGAAACCAAATGCCGATTAGGGTTCACTAAAACTAGTTTTAGTTTAGTTTCTTCAATTTTGTCATGAAACAGTGGCTTATCATTAATTCGCTCATTAATTTATGAATAATTAATTTTAATTATTGAAAATGTGTACTTGTTTCCACACCACCCAAGAGGTAAAGTACATGACGCGTTTATTTTAACGTGGTCTCCCCGAAGGCCTACTCCATTACGTAAATTAAAAACTTTAACTTATCTGCACAAGCCCGACGGACCTGGCTCATTGATGTCAAAGTCGATCGTGTCTGCTGTGCTGGGCTCATCAGGGTGGTCTCTCAATTCGTCCAAGTCTTCATCTTCAGCCGCCAGAGGGATATCTACAGGCAAGTCAAACTTCTCTTCATCGGATTCGTCGAGTGACACTTCAATGACGTTGTCACAGGATTTCCCATTGCAGTATGCACAATTTATAGAACATTTTAATCCTGTTTTTCTGCATCCGCAGGCTTTCCCACAGTTGTTGGTTTTGTATTTACAGGATAAAAATGCCAATAGGGATTTTGGAGCTAGATCTGTCAACGTTGTGACTGGAGTAATGCCTGTTTTTATTTTCTTCCAATCCCATTCTTCGGCATCTTTGGTACAACCAGACCAATGCTGAACTTGGTGGTAAGTTCGCAATGAATGCTGTCCAGCACGACAATTAATTGTTCATAAATTAATGAGCGAATTAATGATACGCCACAAACTTGAAGAAACTAAACTAAAACTAGTTTTAGTGAACCCTAATCGACATTTGATTTTGGAAAATCGACTATACATATATATCATACTTTACTCAAAATTGTAAAATTTCGAGCGATTTTGTGCCTAAACGGTTGACTTGGCGAAAATTTTCATAGAACCTTTTTTTAGGAAATTTTATTTTCTTTAATTTTGCTCTCTTCAAATTTTTACGAAAAACGCATAGTTTTCGAGATATTTACAAAATACCGATTTTGGGCGCCATATTGGCAAGATGGCGGCGCCGGCGGCAAGTCTGCAAAATGTGAATTTTATAGATTTTAGTTAGGGACCCCAAAACCTATAAACCTGCGAAGTTTCAAAACTTCCGGACTTTTTTCCAAGCGGGCCCCTTTTTGATCCCCAATGACTGAACTAGTAGGTATAAAAACATTTTTGGTAAACTGTCTCAAGTAGTTTCTTAATAAAAATTATTTTTTTAAAAGGTCCGATTAAATTTATATATCTCCGAAACTAAAATTTCAAAAAAAGTCATACTGTATCTACAAATTCATTTACCCAGTAGTACTGTGCAGTTTGCGCAGTTTAAGTAAATTTTTATTTTTTAAGACTTTCTTTAGTTTTTTTCTAAAAGAACTTCATAAATTATTAATCTTTTTAACAACTGGTTCCAAATCAACCAATATTTGTTTCCGTTTATTTAGTTAAGCAATTATTTTTTTAACCGTTTATGAAATTTAGATTTTGGCAATAATAATAAGTGTTCTATAAATTAACCATATTACTGTTCTAATTTTGTTATGCAGGCTTACTCTTATAATTCCATGGATAAGTTGGTATTTAAGGGAAAGGCGAAGCCATAAATATTCGAGATTTTATTGATACAGTTCTTGGTATCATGTTTCTTCTGCATTCTTTGCAACACTGTATAAAGTTACTGTGAATAATGGTTTGAATAATAATGTAGTAATATATTGTGGGAAAATGACTTTAAAAAATATTTATTTAATTATAACAATAGAATGAAAATTAAAAAAGAATGGCTGTATCCTTATGGTAAGTATTTTTATACCGTTTTGCGGTTGTATTTCTTAAAAAAACATTACTTTGGTTAAAAAAAATTGGATAAAAATACATTATAAAACACAAAAACCCTGTTAAAAACTAATATAACCCTAAGGAGTTAACCTTAAAAACTATAAGTAGTTTGAAAATATTTATTTTACAGTTGGGGGTTTGGAACCTTTGGTGCTAAACAGCAAAATAAAACACTAAATCACCACAATACACCAAAACACTTTTACTTTTACACTGGATGATCAAGACTAATCTAAAAGTACAATTTGAGCGTTTAATACTCGCTCAGTGGGTACCGAGTGGGCGTGGCAAGATCTAGCCAACCGAGTCAGAGCCCACCGAGCATAACAGTTAGACTCCCGCCACTAGAGTAGTAGGAACAAAGAACTTGAAGGAATGGGACCGTTGTCTCATCTAATTGCCTGTAATTTGAGACTTGTTTAATTCATGTTAAATAATATTAAGATCTATTCAATGTTCTTTATCAACAATATGTTCAGCAACGCAAGATTTATCCGGTCTACCGTATCTTATCTGAGCTAAATGTTCTTTATATCTGGTTAATATTGATCTTCAAGTTTGCCCAACATATTTCTGATTACAATCTTTACAAGAAATTTCATAAATACCCGACCTTTCCAGTGGAAGTGTTTTATCCTTCACAGCAATTGGTAATCCATTGTCTCCATTTTTTGGCTAATTTATTCACGAGCAGGTTTGAAGTGGAAACTAAGAATCAGTTTGAGTATTTTCCAAGAGTATGGTTTAGATGTGAGAATGATATTTTTGCTGTTTTTGACACACATTCAGACACCATAGATAATTTTATTTCTAAGTTAAATAATCGTTTTCCTTCCATTAAATTTACACATGAAATTGAGAACAACGACAGATTACCATTTCTAGATGTCTTAGTTATTAGAAATACTAATAATTGCCTGGAATTTGATATCTATAGAAAAAATACCACTTCACGCAGGTATATTCCTAATGACACATATCATAGTGTTGAACATAAAATGACGAATTTAAATTTCTTAGTTAATAAATTACTTAGTTTTCCACTTACCAACGAAAGATATTAAATAGAAAGAGAGATTACATTAGGAATGTAGCTGTGTGTAGTGGATATTCTTCTTCACTAGTTGATAAAATAATTAGAAAACGTAGGTATAAGTTTTTGATTTCTGAAAATTCGACTTTTCAGGTGGAGAAAGATACTTCAAAATATTTTTCAATGCCGTTTGATAGAGAGTTATCGTGGTCTAAAATGAATTTTTATGAATGTCAATTATAAACGTGTGTATAGTGCTAATAATAAATTACATCAATTATTAGGTAATCCAAAGGATTAAACACCTCCACTGGAAAGGTCGGGTATTTATGAAATTTCTTGTAAATATTGTAATCAGAAATATGTTGGGCAAACTAGAGGATCAATATTAACTAGATTTAAAGTACATTTAGCTCAGATAAGATATGGTAGACCGGATAAATCTTGCGTTGCTGAACATATTGTTGACAAAGAACATTGTATAGATGTTAATAATTTAAAATTAATTAAACAAGTCTCAAATTACAGGCAATTAGTTGCATATGAAAGCATCAGAATTAATAAATATAAAGATAGTATGAACAGAGACAACTGGTTACAATGGTTAGCATAACAATGATTAGCGAAACGCGAGTCCAGTGTAAAAGTAAAAGTGTTTTGGTGTATTGTGGCGATTTAGTGTTTTATTTTGATATTTATTTTAATAATATAAAACTGATATTTAATTCTTTTTTTTTTCTTAGGTTTTGGAAGCGATTCTGGATTCTCCTCCGAGATATGCGGGGAATATAAAAGCAACGCCACCACCCCAAAGGAGAAATTTTGCCCGCCGGACACGCTGGACGAGAACGACTGTGCCAAATTGACCAGAACCAAATGGACGGCTTCTTTTAGGAAAATAATTCGAAAAATTCGCAAATAAACGTTCACTGAACTGCAGGATTAGATAGTAGAATCCCGTCAATATCCAGAACCATAGTATTGCAAGTTTTTACATTTTTTATTTTTATTTTGTTTCTTTACTGACTTCTCAGGACTTGTTTTCATATACATATACACTTTTTTTCGTCATTATTTATCTCAGATTATTAAATTATTTAATATTAGTGGTGTCATCATATCCGGTACAAAACAGGAGGTAAACAAAAATAGAAATAAAATATACCCATTAGTAATCATGACTATCATCAAACTAAATGATAACACGTAGAAAATGGGATGTTTTGTTGACGTTTTGCAATGTTGGAAATGATGGCTACTACCGCGACCCAAAAAAGAACTAGAGTAAAATTGTGGTATCCATCTAATGAACATCGGTTATTATTTTGCAAAATTATACAAATACTGACAATATAACTGTTCCTTAACTATTTTATACATAAGAATATGTCCTATATAATTCAGACTGATTGTATTGAAGCCCTCATTTTTAATTTTGAAGTCTAAAAGTCTTTTTAAAATAGTTTTCAACGTATATAATAAATAGTCAGTTAAAAAAAGTTGAAATATAGGTAGATTTATAAACTCTATAGATTAAGTTCAAACATTGTTTTAAAAACTTTACAATTTCAATAAAAATAGTTTTTTGTCCTTTTATTTTAACAGTCTTTTACATTTATTTTTTTATTTATTACGTTTATGAATAACCAAATGTGTTTCACTATTTTGTAAAATAATAACCAAAGTTCACTGTATAACACATTTTTTACATCATATTTATATGTCAATTTTTTCAAAACTTATATTTTTTAAGTAAAAATCTAGCGGCATTTATAATAAGCATTTGAATTTTCAGTTTATTACTTGCGCCAATGTAGTATTAACGTAAAATAATAAAATTAAAACAGCCCAAGAAAATAAAAATCCTGACAAACACAAATTTTTAGGTTAATAATTTATTTGCTAAGTTAATCGAAATTAATATATTATTAAATTGGTTTTATATGTTTTAATTAATCTTGTAAATACTATTATAAAATTCCATAACTCCTATAACTCCATGATTTTCTGCCTTATATACAGTTTTTATTTAAACATAAGAAGAATTACTTAAGATAAGCGAAGTAATAAGATATTTATTTATATATGATATTTTATTGTAAGGTACAAATGTTGTCAATATTAAAGTACATTTATAGTATAGTCTGTACAGCGATTGTTCAATGTTGCGTCATCATCCGTTTTAGGGTATGTCTGAGATCAGTTCTTATCGTTTAGAATATTTCAAGTGCGTTCCGAAATTAGTAAGTAAGTGCGTTCCGATTTTATCAATCTCTTTATTTATCCCAAATAGATATGTTTTGTCTTTAATCATTTTAGTTGTGGCATTTTATAGTTTTAACCGCACATACCAGTTTTAGTAACAAACGGATTTGAATTAGCGCAGGCAACGGTCAATTGCCAAAAGTAAAATGACAGTTATTAAGGCGCATTCTCACGACTCGTGTACTTGACAAACATTTGTTATTGGAATATACTCGCCATGTCGTGAGAACGGTTTCCTTGCACTCGTCGCGTCCCCACTCTCTGTCGGTAAATATAGCCCGAGTCAAAGGATCACAATAATTATTCGTACACTTGCCAGCCTTGTCTATACTTGCCGAGGCGCAAAAAAACGACTGCGCAAATAATTGTACTGTTATAGAGTATGTCCCGTTTATTTCCGGATCGTAATGTTTTTAGTAGTGAGTTAATTGCGGATAATTTAAAACGTTAAAACAGTAATAGATTATATAATATAAAATTTACATTAGAAACTTCAATATTGGCGACATAGCTAAATCGTTCTCACAGCAATAAATCGAGTGGACAAATGAAGACTACACGAGAAAAACCAGATATGTGACATTTTCATAGAAATTAAGATAGCGATACAACTTTATAGACAAATGTTAACGTCATTCGAGAAAAAAGAAAGCAGTAATACGCTTAGTCCCAGAGATATTACAGCTTGGTTATTTTGCCGTACAAAGGAAAAACCATAGTAGTCCAAGCGTAAATGGCAAAAACCAGAGATGTACTTCCGCATGGGCGACAAGCATGCATCTTGCAATTAGTATTATATGTTATAAATTTATGTATTGTAATAAAAACCTACTTAAATATTAATTTTCTTCCTACTGCAGAAAAATAATAGTTTAAATTTAGGTTTTATACAACTTTAATTGGATATCCCTGGTTTTCCTCTGTTTTGTTTTGCATTTTGACATTTTTATTTCGGTATTTCAGAATATAGCGATAATTCACAATATTAATAATTCAGAATTGGTAGTAATATATCTTTTTCTAATTATTCAACCGAAAATAACATATTTCTTTAAAAACACTCCAATTAAAATGGACAAAACTGGGTTTTCCCGTGTAGGCTTCAAATGATGTTATTCTGGAATTTATGGATTTATACGAAAATGAGCCCTTCATATGGAAGGCCAAACATAAAGAACATAGAAATCGTATTGCAGTGTACAGTAAAAGAACTTAAAAAGGAAAAAGAATCACTAGCAACGACAATTTCGGGACGACCGGTATCCATCGATGCGACTATACTGTTCACTTGCCTAGGATTTAAACAATGTTTGTGCTTGCGTACTTGTTGAAATGAACACGCCGTGTGAGCGCCACACTTGCCGATTTTGTTTACAAAGTGGGGACTGGTGGGGATCCTTGCCAAGTACGCAAATATTGGCGTACTTGCCAAGTAGACGACTCGTGAGAGTGTGCCTTTAGAAACAATGTGCAGTGATTTACGAAATGCCATAATGACGTCTACATTTTGTTTCATCCCGTTTCACGTGAGAGAAAGAGTACGACAGTATATGACGTAGCGTTGAACGATGGTTGTACAGACTTTATTAATATTTCGGTAATCCTTAAAATGTCGTGATATTTGTAAAAATAATATATTTATTTGACTTAAGTATTTTGTTTTAACGCAGATTGTTAGATAGACTGAAACTCGTATATAAAATTATATTAAAATTGTCATAAATTATAACTTAGTATCTTATGGTTTCTGATCTATTTAAATATATCTGAAATTTTAAACGTAGGTAAAAAATTCGACACGTAAACTTAATGAATTTAAAAGTAATTAAACACTGTTAATAATTCACAGGTTTAATTTAGAGATCAATTATCTAGAGTATTGCAAAATTTAGTATTTAGGGGTTTATATTGAAAGTGTTTTTAGGTGACGTTTGTTAGCTATAAATAAAAACAATTTAAGTGGCTGTTGAATTATTCTAAGGTCGGACAATCTTGCCCTTAGGAAACTTAAATTAGGTAAAGCCGATATTAGCCAATGGGATTAATGAATCACGATATAAAAAAACTAAGAGAAAATTCAAAGATATAGAAAAAATCTTATCGGTGTTATATTTGTGGATTTGATTTTATTCAGGGTGTTTTTTATAACGGTTTTATTAAAGGTATTTTTGGATATAATTTAGATTGAAATTTGAATATTTTGGGTTAAGAATATTATAAGAGTACTTCCTTTATAAATTATTACTACAGGTTTAATCGGAATTGGTTACAATTTGCATATTTTAAATAGAATATGTAGAATGTAGAATGTTTACGAGGTGAGTTAATCACCGCGACCTTACAGATCTATTGTGTGTTCCCCTTTCTTGAGTTATAACTCATCATACAGTCTCAGGGCTTCAACAAGAGCCAGTATCTGAGACGGCTCCACAGAGGCCAGCTCTCCATCCTCGACATCAGTCGTACCAAAGTTCATGGCACGTCTCGGCGCACTCAGTGATAAGGTGTTCTGGTGTTTCCCCATTTTCCCCACAGAATCTGCATTCGCCGTTGTTTTTCAGCTTCAATCTACGGAGGTGTTCTTTGAGGAGACAGTGTCCTGTTAGAAACCCCGTGACAATCCGAAGATTGTTTTTACTTAAATCAAGAAAAATCTTTGATTTTTCTCAGTCGTATGTTCTAAGGAACTTTTTTGAGTGTCTTAGACCGTGGACACCCATTCCAAGTTACGGATGGAGTCTTCCAGATTCTTGAGTTCCGCTTTCAGTTGGTTCCCGTTTGGAAAACAGAACGGTTCTGGTCCAGTTAGTGGAGTGTTCGCTCCTTTCCTAGCTAGATCATTTGCTTTTTTATTGCCTTCTATCCCTTGATGAGCAGGCACCCAGAGTAGGAGGACTTTATTTTCTTTGCCTAATTTGTTGAGCTTCTTTAGGCATTCTTTGACCAACTTCGAATTGATGGTTACTGAGTTGATCGCGTTTAGTGCTGCTTGACTGTCGGATAGGATGGCAATTTCCTGTTTTCGATAGTTCCTATCTAAGATAAATTGTACACATCTTTCGATAGCGTAAATTTCTGCCTGCAGGATACTGGGGTAGGTGCCCATTGGTATGGTCTTTTATATGCTGAGTAAGCGCGTTTCTTCCTTCCAATCCTTTTTATTACTCAATATTACAGTGAGGTGTTTCTCAAAGTTGTAAATTCTTGGTATGTCATCCACTGGGAGTTGGAGAAGTGGAATTTTCTTTTTGAGGGTGTTCCAAACCACTGACCTGAAAGTTCTCCCAGTACTGTTTCCGTCAATGACCATTCTTATCATTGTCGCATTGGCATAACTACCGACGACAATATGCAGTGGTGTTAGATCTAGAACGACCTTCATTGCTACTGTTGGACATGTTCTCATGGCACCTGTGATGCAGATACATGCCATTCTCTGTACTTTGCACAGGTTTTACCTTGCTGTACGTTGCTCTAGTTTTGTATACCAAGCAACTGCTCCATAGGTAATCATGGATTCATGATATACACTCATGGTATCATGATATACACACAGCGCAAAATGTTAGGGGCGCAGCCCCGTAAATAGAATATTGTTTATGCTTTTTAGATTCTATATGAAATTCTAAAATTCTTTTCAAAAAAGTCATATGAGTATTTCGCCATTGTAAGAAAATCTACAAATTATTTTAATTTGTAGATTTTCTTACAAGGAAAAATAACTATTTTAGTTATTTTTTGTAAACACTGCTGGCGTTAATCCAACAGAGACTTGTCAGCAATGGTTTACTCATAAAAAAATTGCCTAACGGACAAAAAATGCTTAACATTTCGGGAAGTATGTCTCTTCCCATCGTCGGAAGCAAA